AATTTAGTATTTATATTGGTATTTCATAGTTTGTGATTTGATTTGATCTATCCTTTATGATATTTAATATACTTGTTTTTGTTTTGTAAGTTTGGGTATGTTTATATTGTGTAAGACTCTACATTTATGAGAAACTAGAGATCTTTGGTCTTGGAGTCAAATAATGTCAACTTCTTATCAGATAAATCAAAATAAAGTTGTAATATTAACTTAGGTTAACTATCTTTTTTATTTTATTTTGTCATTTTTATTTTGATTTGAAATATACATACAACTAGAATTTCATTTCATTAGAGTTTGTTTGAACCATAGTGGTATTGTTATTTTGGAACCTTCATGATCAAAATTGGAAGTTGTTTTTTTTTCCCCAATTTAAAATAAGTTTGCTTCATACATATATATATATATATATATAATATACTTAAATTTTAAATTTTTATATAGGTGTTTATGGAATGAATTTATAATTTCAACTTATTAAATACTTTTTTTTTTGAATTAATGAATATATTATAGACTTAAATGCAATATTTGTTTATCAAGTATAACAATTGTGCAATTTTAGTTCCTTAAATTTTAACTAAATAATTTTAGTCCCTCATATGTTGTAGTTATGCAATTTTGGTTTCTCAATTTTTAATTGAGCAATTTTAGTGTGTAAAATATAATTTTGTGATTTTAATTTCTAAAGTATCACAATTATACAAAATTTTACCTATTTAAGCTACATATATAAGTGATTTTAGTAATAAAAAAACATATGTATACACATATATTTATCATTAAATACATGAATGAAAGTTATAATATATGTAACTTAAATATGTCAAAATTTGTATAATTACAATACTTAAAGGAGTAAAAATTGTACAATTGTTATGCTTGAGCAGTTAAAATTGCTTAATTAAAATTTAGGGATCAAAATTGTACCATTATGATACTTAAAAGACTAAAATTGTTTAGTTAGAACCTCACGAACCAATATCTACAATTATAATACTACATAAATAAAAAATGTAATTAAACCTATAACATAATATTAAAATTATTTTGAATTACTAAATATTTTAAATTTGACTAATTTTTGGTAAAAATTAATATCAAAATAATATTTTAAATAAATATTTAAAAATAATTTTTTACATTTTTGTGTAAATTGAATTATTTCCACCAAATAAAGAAGTTGAAATAAACAAACTAAATTATTTTATAAAAAAAGTATTTGAAAAATGAAGAGAATTCAGTTAAAATGATTCAAATTTCGTGTATTTCATTTTTTTAAAATGTTAAATATTTTAATCCAAGCATAGTGTTTTACTATTATTTAAATATTTATATTATATATACATATTTATGATAAATATATATATTTAATATAAATGCTTAATATACGTATTTAATATTAAGTATTTTTATTTAATAAGTAAATATTAATAAAATCTAAAAATATTTATTATAATACTGAATAATTTATAAAAATATTTAGTATTGTAAAATTGAAACTATTTTGAATTATTAAATATTTGAATATTAATTAATGTTTTAATTTTGGTAAAATTGATTATTTAATTTTTTAAGCAAATATTCTAAATTAATTGTTTGCATTTTGTGCAAATTCAATTATTCAATCCAAATAAAGTAATCGAAATAAAAAATAATTGATTTATTCAAATGAAGATAAAATGAAGGAAATTTTGTTTAAAGTAATTAAAATTTTATGTATTACAATTTCTTTAAAATGTTAAAAGTCTAAACATTATATTTAGGGTGATAAAATGGGGTCGTGACCCATGGATCGACCCGTTGGCCTGTAAAAAATTGGTTAGTCGAGTCCATCATTTTAATCCGTCAAGTCTGCCCTACCAAGCTTGCCAATCTGTTGGGTCAAATGGCAGGTTGACCCATCACAACCCACTAACTCGCATTTGAGATTCCTATTAAAAAAATATTAATTTTTAAGTTTGTAGTTTGATTTTGATTTTATTATAAGTGCACTAATTTCTATTTGATTTTGTTGTAAGTTGGTAATTTATTTTTGTTAAACATATATTATGCATAATATGTATACATTTTCAATTTCATGTGGTTATACTTATTTATTTGTAATAGTTTTTTATTTGGATATAAAATACATTCTTTTTTGTAATTTTTTAATGGTATGCGGGCTAGCCCGCCAACCTGCCCTTAGACGGGATGAGCCAACATTTTCAACCTGTTTTTCAGTGGCGGCTCAGTCCGACCCATTTTTGGTGGGCCAAGCCAAAACAAGCCAGACTAACTCGTTTTGTCACCCATAATTATGTTACTAGTATTTATAATTATAATAAAAATAATATTATTTTTCATGTACATAATTTGTTTCTAATTTTAAGCCTGTAATTATTTATCAAATTACTCTATAAATTTCTCATACTTTTCAATTAACCAACCACTTATTTCTCAAATCCTCTTTTATTTTCAACTACTCACCTTTTACTTTTTTTTTTCTAAAAAAAAATATTGAGAGTCACAAAGTGTCTCTTTGAAAAGGGTATACACTATACACTAACTCATTTGAGTCAACATAATGATAAAGAGTTTGACAATTTGTTAAAGGTTTTTATTTATTATTAAATATTAAATAATTTATATAAAAATTTATTATAACATTAAATGTTTTTAAAATATAATATTTATTTAAATATTAAATAATATCTACAAATACTTAATATTTTAAAATTAAAAATATTTAATATTGTAAAATTAAAGTTATTTTGAATTATCAAATATTTAAATATTGGTCAATGTTTTAATTTGGCTAATTATTTAATTTTTTTTAAATGAATATTCTAAATTCATTGTTTGCATTTTGTGTAAATTGAATTATTCTATTCAAATAAGAAAAATGGAATAAAAAAATACTTTATCCAAACAAAGTATTTGTAAAATGAAGAGAATTATATTTAAAGTAATTAAATTTTATGTATTTCAATTGAACGTTTAATTTTTTCCTATAAACATTATACTATTGACGTATACACAAGTATATATATAAAAAATATTGGTATATATACTAACCCATTTTAGAAAAATTTTAACAATTTGTAGAAGGTTTGATAAAAAATATTACATACATTATTTACTTATATTTTAAACCTTTTATAATAATTTATTTCTTTCCTTTAAACCACGATAACTCACATGTATAATATATATATATTTTTTATTTTTCATAAAACAATCACATAAAAAAATAAAGGCTAAATTATACCTTTTCTTTTGTAATATTCAATTTGTAGTTTGGTCCTCCAACTTTTAAACATAGTTTTAATCTTTAAGTTTGTAAAACCTGTAATTTCAGTTTAATCATTAAATATTCAACTGTTAATTATTAAATTTTTAATATTAATCATGTATTAATATTAAGTAAACGACGTGACAAATAGTGTTTAGGTTAAATTATAATTTTAATTCATATTTTTACTTTGACAAACATGGAAACAAAATAGATAAAAATGAATTAAAAATATAAATTAAAAGTAATATTATAAAGGTTTTAACAATTATTTGATCTCTGAATTTTTTGAAAAGTTTTAACAAGATCCCTAAACTTAAAAAAATTATAATTAGATTTTCATCTTTTTATATTTTATAATTTAGTTCCTGGGCTTAAAATCCATTTGTAATATGTGACATTTCATAAAATATTATTTACATTCTCATAATTTAGATAATTACATTAAATTATTATTTTATGTTATGAGGTATTAATTTCTACCCCTTAAAATTTCCTCATAATTTCCATAATACATATGTATGATGATGTAAAATAATAATTTAATATAATTTTCTAGATTTAATGATATAAAGTATTTTATGAAATTTTATGGATTACAAACAGATGTTTAAAATTATAAAAAAAAATATAGGACCTTATTCCAAATTTTTTTAGTCTAAAGACATAATTGAAGATTTATGAAATGTCAAGGAATCAAATAACGTATTAAATTTATTATAAAATATTAATTGTTATGTTATTTATTTTATGTTAGATCATGATTAATATTATAATTTTAATAATAAATATAATATTTATTTAAAATTTAGATTAAAATTACGAGTTATATAAATTTTGGAGCTTAAAATTACAAATTAAAAAATTAAAATTGTAAATTAAATATCTCAGTATAAGTGTAATTTAATAAAATAAAAGTATGTGGCAACAATTATCAAAACATAATGAATAGATAAATAACATACAAAATTTGCTCTAATATCACACAAATGGAGCTTTATTAAAGACAATTTAGACAATTTTATATAAAATAAACCATGTACTAATGGTGTAATGAAATTTTATTGTTTAATAACAAATTATCAAATATGATATAAGTTTGTTAATTTCACATAAACTATCTTATAAGTCATATTAACTATAATTTTCTTTTATTGATTTTTAGTGTCATTTTTTTACATGACCATAATTTTTTTATATATATGTTTTTAATGTTTTATTTATTTATTTATTAAATTATAATTTATATCAATAATTAATATAATAAATATTAAATGTCAATATAAATTATCGAGATGAAATTTTAATCTGAGAAATGTTAGTGAAACTTTTTTTTATCATTATTGATATTGATTCGAAATCACAAATTTATGAGTGAAACATTTCATTCAATAAACCTCGTAATTTAGTGATCTTACTCGCCATTGCAATTTTTAATCAATAATAGAAAGAATGTTCACAAGAGAGTATTAAAGTGCAGTGAGTGTTATCAAAATTTTCTTTTAATTTTCACATAAAGTACTGAACAACACAAAAGATGTAAAAAAAAAAAGAAAAAAACACTACAGGCACCTTGGAAATTGTACGGAAGTCTGATTCTTTTGTTAATTGTGATTAAGACTAATTTATTTTGATAATTACATTTTGATATTTTAATTTTGTGAAATAATATGTAATATAAAAAAGACACATATTTTAGTATTTTACCAAGTATTGGTTCCAAATTCCAATCTTATTATTCTCCTCCCTCAGTGGTCACGGTTCAGGTCATAGAGCGAACGTTTCCCTTGCCGTAAGAAGCCGTTACTTGTTACCGTGCGCACTTCACTCTCTCTCTCTCTCTTCTCCGTAGAGAGAACAGAACACCATCGGGGAACGCAGTGCCACAACCCCAGCAAATATTTCTCCGTAATTTTTATATATATTTATATGCATTTACCTTTACCTATCTATATATCTTCTCCACAAGTGTGTGTGTGGGGCTTTTCTTATCGTTTTTATTATTAAGCTTATGGTTCCTCACTCGCTATAATACAATACTACTTGTCTTTGTTCAATTAGGATTTCAATTATTTTGATTGAGGCTCGAGGGTTATTAATCTGGTGATGATGGGGAAGTGAGAAGCTACGGCATAAAGGGATTGTTGTGTGGGAAACCTAGGTTTGCAAAATGGAGGGAGAAGATATTAGGTCTGGGATGAAGAAGAAGCGATCCAAGAAGGAAATTGGTTTTGACTCTGGTGATGACGAGCCCATTGGGTCAATCTTTAAGGTTAAAAGGTCCAGGAAGAAGGCTAGTTGTAGTAGTGATGCTGTTAGGGGAAAGGAGGATTTGGAGGGTATGGATGATAATGATACCTTGGCTAGCTTTAGAAAGAGGTTGAAGGGTCCTAAGAGAGATCAGGGATCTGGGGCCACAAGAGGAGCAAGTCCTGCTGCTTTGCCTGTGTCTGATGAAGATTTGGTTGCTTTGGGACCTAACGGTAAGGATGAGAAAAGGGTGGTGTCTGGTGATGTTGACATGCAGATGCGGGATTCATCTGATCAGCACATGGAGGGTTCCTTGTCTGCAATTTTCCACAAGGCACAGTCTAGTTCGGCTAGGAAATCTCGTGGGGGTTTGAAGCAGAAAAAGGTGATTCAGAATGTGGATAGTGGGATGAGCCCTGGTTGTGATGGTTTTGTAGAGGCTGTGGATTCTGTGGTTGAAAGTAGATCCGGATCTGCTTCTGGCTTAAAATTGGTTGAGGGGAATGTTGTGTCTGCTGATGCTTTGCCTCAAGCATCTGAACCGGCTTTCACATCTGTGGTGGATGATCAGAAGTGCGGTGATGGCGTTTTCCAAGAGGAAACTGTGAAGGGAGATTGCGAATCAGATGTTCCAGATGTCTGTCATGGAGATAGGCAGCAATTGTCTTGTGTACAGGTTGAGGATATTTGTTGTGCTTCTGACCAGAAGGTTGCATTGCAGGAAAGTGTTCTTGGTGAAAGTTTAGATAAGTTATCTTCCATGTCACATGATGAAACAGTTGATACTGCCTCTCTCTCAAAAATGGGAGAAGAGGTAAAAGGCTTTACTGAGGTCAGAGAGTCTGAGAATATATTGACTGATGAACTAGCACAAGTGTGTAACATTGCTTCAGAACGTGATGATTCTACTTTTGTGGTGCATGAAAATGTCTCAACTTCTGCTCATACCGAACCCTTTATATCAACTGAAAATATATTGAATGAGAGTAATAATATGTTTTCTGGAAAAGATTTCCGGGAGTTCTCAAGTAATGGCACTCTAAAATTATCTGGATCCCATTTGGAAGTAGATGGAGGTGGAAAATCAGAATCGGAGTTTGTTAATAGAAATTTATGTGATTTTAGTAGTTTAGATTCAAAGGCTGAAGTGCAAGATTTTGTTTTGGGTTTTTCACCTAAAAGAAATGATGCAACTTTTGGTGGTAGTTTATCTTCCATGGTGTCTAATGAAGCCAATGAAGCTGAATTGGCTGCCCTCTCAAATCACCCAGAGAAACCTCTAGAAGCTTTCAATATTCCAAAAGATTCTACTGCTTCAATTCAGAAATGTAGCTCAGTGTTAGATCCAATTCAATCTGATGGATCTTCTCTTCAATCTTCAATTCCTGATGAAAATGGGAACTCTGCAGAATACCATCCCTCTGTGCCTGATTTTGCTGATAATGATTGTAAGTTATCGAGCATTCCGCGTGTTATGCGAAAGGCAAAGATGCGTAAGCATGGAGACATGACATATGAGGGGGATGCTGATTGGGAGATTTTAATTAATGATCACGCTCTAAATGAAAGTCAAGTTATGGTAGATGGTGACCGCACTCTTAGAACAAGAATGAAGCATGAATCCTCTTTGAATACAGGTGAAGACTTTGAAAATGTTGCAGTAGTAGCAGTATCAGCTGGGCTGAAAGCCCGTAAAGCTGGTCCAATTGAGAAAATAAAGTTTAAGGAGATCTTGAAGCGCAAAGGTGGTCTCAAGGAATATTTGGATTGCAGGTAATTAAGTTTTCGAACAGGTCTTTACAGTTGCTTGTAATTGTTTTTTCCAAGTGTTCAGAAAGGTTGCACTTTTTCCTTTGCAGCAGAGTATTCTTATATATTTTGGTTTTTTGGTGTCTTGTGCTTGACATACGTAGATTTGTTTTTGATTCTTTGTGAATGATGGTTGGATGTGTTCCTTGTTTTAGTAGCTTAAACATGATAGTTAGGATGTTTCTCTGTTTTTGACGTTCATGATTGATGATTGGATGTGTTGTTCATTTTAGTTGCTTAAACATGAAAATTAGATATTGACTCTTGCTGTATGTTTCTGGTTATTGATTCACACGTATAATTGGGCAGCTGAACAACTTGTTAGTGGTGATTTAAAAAGAAACTAAAGGGAAAAAATAAACATATACAAATGCCTGTTTGTTGGTTCAATTTTTTCCTCCTCTTTGGCCAATTGTCGGTTTCTGAATTTGATATTTTTTGTTAAATTTTTCTAGGCTAGGGCCTCCCTCCTGTAATTGCTTGTAACTGAAAAATCCTACTTCCTTTATTGGACTGAGTTTATCTTTTTTTTTTTTTTGTTTATATGGAAATTGTTGATTAATTGCATATTATGTGGTTGTGAGTTCCTATAATATTTTTATTTTTATTGCTTATAGGTTTTTATTTTTATTGCTTATAGGTCATAGCATCACACCCTCTCTCCTTTTCTTATCCTTTAAAAATTATTTGCAATAGCTTTCATAGACAAATTTAAGTAGAATACTTCATCTCCTTTTTTTTTTCTTTCTGCATTTTCAAGATCATTAGCTGGCAGGACATTGAATCTGGGATACTTCTATTGTGATTTGTGATATGCACAATCTGCTACCCTTAATTACTGTAACTTGTTATATTCAGAAGTTGGCTATAATTTTGTTTATTATTTTACTAGTTATACAATATAATACTATTATCATCACTCTATTTCTTGACAAGATTCTATCTAATGATTTCTTCTTTTAGTTATTGGATTTAGTTTTCTTTTCCTATTGTTTTATGCTTCAGAATCTCTTTCAAAAAGCTGTAAAGTGGTTTTGTAAACTCCAACGAGCATAATGCAGCAGGTTGCTATCTTATTCTTTAAACTGGAATATGCTGTCTATTTGGCTTCTGTTTGTTTCTAATCAGATTTTAGCCCAAACTTGATGACTTTGTGATATAGATTGAACTATTTAGTTTCATTATTTTATTTACTGTTTTTTCATTCTGCAATTTGGATTTTTTTGTAATTATTTTTTGTTATTTAGGGATTTTTTTCTGTTTTGTATTATCTTTTTCATGCTCAGAATAGGAATAACTTATCAGGGTGTTTGGTAATGTTGGGCCATTAAATAGGCTTTCAGTGTAAACACTTCAGAGATTTTATTTATTTATTATATAATATTGAATTTCCTTCATTTGAGTAGTATATGATATTTGAGTTGTTGGAGCACTTTGCCATGAATAAAGTTTTCAAGGGAATATTAGAGGAGTACTCTTGGATTATACAACATCACTTTGCTACACCTTTTTTAAACTAGGTAGCCCGTTGTCATAAATTTCACCTCATTTAATTCAATGCATTGCAGAAATCAGATTTTAAGTCTTTGGAGCAGAGATGTCACACGTATTTTGCCTCTTGCTGAATGTGGAGTTAGTGATACTCATTCGGAGGATGGAAGTCCTCGGTCTTCTCTTATTAAGGAGGTCTATGCATTTCTTGATCAATATGTAAGTTTGTTCGTTATGTTGTTTAGCCATCAGTTTTTATTTCCTTTGCTTTTGCACTACATGCATATATGGGTGCATATTTATTGTGTTTGGTTCAACATTCTAAGAAGCTTATTTTAGAGAAATAATTTTTTTGTTAGCTTTTTTGAGAGTTTTTGAAAGAAAAAAGTGGTTATTTCCTGAAAATAGTGTTACCAAACATAGACTTATCAAGCTTTTTCCTTTAAAATGATTCTTTTTGGCAAAAGAAAACAGCATATTAGTGCTTATTTTCTGTTAAAATTGAAACTTTAAAGTGATAAGATCATTTTGGCAGGGTTATATAAATGTTGGAATTGCTTCCCAGAAGGAGAATGTTGGAATTAGTGCAAAGCATTGTTATAAACTGGTAAAAGAAAAAGGTTTTGAGGAAAGTTCTGCAGCTTCAGTGGCAGACTCTGAAGATGGAGTTTCTTTTATTGTTGGTCAGACTAAAATGTCACATACTTCCAATGAGATTAACAATGGTCTTACAAAGAATTTTGAGGACCTAACAACTGAAGCTACAGAAGGTATGAGGTATGTTAATGAAGCGAAGATGGATTTATCAGACATGACACAGCAGGCTGAAAGAAAAAAAATTGATTACCAGGAAAATGATGGGATTCAGGATGGTATTGTAAATGTCACTGTTGACAGTTCCATTCCTTCTTCCATGTTTCCTGATTGCAGATTGACTTCTCTGGTAGCTACAGAGAAAAACAATGACTCCACCACCTGTATTAAATCTTCCTTAGGGGGTCAGGCAGGTGAACATCTGCAGTCTGATTTAGATCCTAGAAAGAGAGTAATTGTCATTGGAGCTGGTCCTGCTGGGCTAACTGCTGCTCGCCATTTGCAACGTCAGGGATTTCCTGTAACTGTGCTTGAGGCTAGGAATAGGATAGGAGGTCGTGTATTTACTGATCACTCATCACTTTCTGTCCCTGTAGATCTCGGTGCTAGCATTATAACTGGTGTTGAGGCTGATGTGGCCACTGAAAGAAGACCAGATCCTTCCTCACTGATTTGTGCTCAGTTGGGCCTTGAGTTGTCAGTGTTGAACAGTGATTGTCCTCTTTATGACATTGTGACAGGACAAAAGGTTCCTGCAGATATGGATGAAGCACTGGAAGCTGAATATAATAGTCTTATTGATGACATGGTATTGGTTGTTGCTCAGAAAGGTGAACAAGCAATGAGAATGTCTCTTGAAGATGGTTTAGAATATGCTCTTAAGATTCGTCGTATGGCACGCTCTGAAAGTAGTGAAGAAACTGGACAAAATAATACTGCAGATACTCCATTTGATTCCAAAAAGGACAGTACTGGGGAAAAAAAACTTGACGAGGAGATTTTGAGCCCTCAGGAGAGGAGAGTTATGGATTGGCACTTTGCTCATTTGGAGTATGGTTGTGCTGCTTCGCTTGAGGACGTTTCTCTTCCCTACTGGAACCAAGATGATGTGTATGGAGGTTTTGGGGGAGCTCATTGTATGATTAAAGGGGGCTACAGCTCTGTTGTTGAGTCTCTGGGAGAAGGACTTACAATTCACTTGAACCATGTTGTAACAAATGTGTCATATGGTATCAAGGAACCAGGTCAGAGTAATAAAGTTAAAGTTTCTACCTCAAATGGCAATGAGTTCTTTGGAGATGCTGTCCTTGTTACTGTTCCACTTGGCTGTTTGAAGGCTGAAACTGTACAATTCTCCCCACCTTTGCCACAGTGGAAATGTTCTTCTGTTCAGCGTCTTGGTTATGGAGTTCTAAATAAAGTGGTTTTGGAATTTCCTAGTGTATTTTGGGATGATGCTATGGACTACTTCGGAACAACAGCTGAGGAGAGAAGCAGTAGAGGTCACTGCTTTATGTTCTGGAATATCAGGAAAACAGTTGGGGCTCCGGTCCTTATAGCATTAGTGGTTGGTAAGACAGCCATAGACAGTCAAAACTTGAGTTCTTCTGATCATGTTAACCATGCATTGAAGGTTCTCCGTAAACTTTTTGGGGAGGATTCAGTTCCTGATCCTGTTGGCTATGTTGTGACTGATTGGGGTAGGGATCCTTTTAGCTATGGTGCTTATTCATACGTTGCTGTTGGAGCATCAGGAGAAGACTATGATATATTAGGGAGACCAGTTGATAACTGCTTGTTTTTTGCTGGTGAAGCAACCTGTAAAGAGCACCCAGACACTGTTGGTGGTGCAATGATGAGCGGACTACGAGAGGCTGTTCGCATAATTGACATATTGAGCACCGGAAATGATTATATTGCAGAGGTGGAGACATTGGAAGCTGCACAGGGGCAGTTAGACACTGAAAGGGATGAAGTTAGGGATATAATAAAGAGACTTGATGCAGTAGAGCTTTCTAACATAATGTATAAGAACTCCTTAGATGGTGCTCAAATTTTAACCCGGGAAGCTTTGTTAAGGGAAATGTTCTTTAATACAAAAACCACTGCTGGGCGCTTGCATGTGGCCAAACAATTGCTAAGTCTTCCCGTTGGAAACTTAAAGTCTTTTGCTGGAAGTAAAGAGGGGCTAGCCATTCTCAATTCATGGATACTGGTATTATTATATCACTTGGTGCATTATTTCCAAACTATTGTGTAATATTTTTTGACAGATGGTACATCCAAGTTTTGCTATTAAAAAGCTAAACATCTTAGTGTGTTTGGTTCTGCTTATTTTGAAGAAATAATAGCTTATTTCTGGCCAGTTTTTTTGAGAGTTTTTGGAAAATGAGCCATTATTTCCTCAAATTTAAGCTAAACCAAACATGCTAAATGAAAAATGAGCCATTATTTCTTAGATAATAGATCATGGACTTCATCTTTTTCATATCCCAATGCAGGATTCAATGGGGAAGGATGGTACCCAACTCTTGAGGCACTGTTTACGTCTTCTTGTTCGTGTTTCGACTGATCTTCTTGCTGTACGATTATCAGGTAGTTCTTTTATTCATTTATTTCATGAATTTGCATTAGTCTATGCATGCAAGTGCATATGGGTATATTTATATATGTGCTGTATCTTATATAATGCTTTTGAGTGAGAAATAGTTGGTTTACTGGTTGGGTCTTGGTTTGGGTGAGATGAGAATAATTTTTCTGGCACCATTTTATGATATATATTTCTTTTTAGATTGACGGCAAACCTAGTTTTTGTCTTTGCTTACTATTATCATTTCCTATCATATGCAATCTGCCTTATGAAACTATGAATTATCAAGTGGCAGAAATATTTGTGCCCCTGTAGATGATTCTGTTGGGATGGGGTCAAATGGAAATATGATATCTACTGTTTCCCTTTCCCATGCATTTGTGTTTATCTTTCTAATTTTGGGTGTAGGAATGGGGAAAACGGTGAAGGAAAAAGTTTGTGTACACACTAGCCGGGATATTCGTGCTATAGCAAGCCAGTTGGTGAATGTATGGCTTGAAGTTTTCCGGAAGGAAAAAGCTTCTAATGGTGGATTGAAGTTATCAAGACAAACAGCTGCTGTGGATTTATCAAAGAGAAAATCAGTAAAAGATTCAGCCTCTGGAAAGCCACCTCTGAGCTCATACCATGGTACCATTGAGAATAAAGGTGGCTTGCTGAATCCTGCATCTGCTGGAAGCAATTCACCTTCCACTGCACATGTGAAGAAATTGCATAGTAAACAAGGAAGACACCAAACAGCTTATGACTCAAGGCATGAAGTCAGTTCTTCCAGGCCTAAAGGTTCAATAGACAAAGTAATTGCTGAGAAGGAGGAAAACCACTATGCTATATCTGAAGAAGAACAGGCTGCTATAGCTGCCGCAGAAGCTGCCCGTGCTAAAGCTCTTGCTGCTGCTGAGGTTTGTTTCTCTTGGAACTTTAGTTTTAATGTCATGAATCAATTGTTATGGTGCTTCTGAAGATCAGTTGATAGTCACAAGCTAAATTGTTTGATCACTATCCCTTATATCATTTTGCTAGAATTCATGACATGATGAATGTTTAGGTGTAGACAATTACAATGTGACTGTTGTAAAATTGTCTTGCTGGGATTCGAATTTGCTTGGTTTGAAAGCCAGTTTTCTTGGCTTGAGTTTGACTTGAACAAGGGTTGCAAATCTTTTAGCTCATTTCTTTAGCTGCTAGCTTCATTCCTTTTACATCTTATATTCAGCATTAAGTTTTAAAGAATTATAATGTTACTGTTGTAAAAATGTCTTGCTGGGATTTGAATTTGCTTGGTTTGAGTGACCATAAGCCAGTTTTCTTGGCTTGAGTTTGACTCAAACAACGGTTGCAAATCTTTTAGCTCATTTCTTTAGCTGCTAGCTTCATTCCTTTTACATCTTATTTTCAACATTATGTTTTAAAGAATTATAGTGTGACTGTTGTAAAAATGTCTTGCTGGGATTTGAATTTGCTTGGTTTGAGTGACCATATGCCAGTTTTCTTGGCTTTAGTTTGACTCAAACAAGGGTTGCAAATCTTTGAGCTCATTTCTTTAGCTGCTAGCTTCATTCCATTTACATCTTATATTCAACATTAGTTTTTAAAGAATTATTATGTGACTGTTGTAAAAATGTCTTGCTGGGAATCTGGGATTTGAATTTGCTTGGTCTGAGTGACCATAAGCCAGTTTTCTTGGCTTGAGTTTGATTCAAACAAGGGTTGCAAATCTTTTAGCTCATTTCTATAGCTGCTAGCTTCATTCCTTTTACATCTTATATTCAACATTAAGTTTTAAAGAATTACATATGAATTATGAGCCTATGGTTCAATTACATTAATAAGGTTGTTTATAATGTAAAATTTTTAATCCAGTTCAGCTTGTTTATTGAATAAATGAGATTGTCCAGCTTAAGTTCAAATTATTTGATTCACAAAACTGACTCATTGAGACTTGAGATTTGAGCAAGTTGTGATCCTGCTGGTTTTATTGCCAGCCCTAATTTTAAAGACATACTTGGATAGGGTTTGGCTTGGCTTTTCTGGATCATAGAAGCTACTTAAAGTTAAAGTTAATTAAGAACAATATAATTAAAGTTAAAATAGATTGGTAATTTTATAGTTTTTTTTAGCTTGGAAGTTACTTTCAAGTTAAAAATTCTTGTGTAGTGTGTTCTTGGGTCTTAGAATTTGGAATAGGGAAGGAGAAACTCCTAAAACCAGATAAGAGGGATCTTGGAGGCTGTAACCAGTGAAATTTCTTGATTTAGTTGATTGCTAGTGTGCTGTAATTAGTAACCTATATTTGTTTGTATTCATCTGCCACCTCTTTTTCTAAGCTGATAGGATCCTTGGAAAGTGGATTTTCCTAAGTCATTAACTAAGACAATATCATTTTCTGGGAATATATTTTTTTATCTGAAATATTTATTTTCCAGGCAATTGCTTTGGTGACACAAAATATCCCAAGATTATTGTATTACCATTAGATGGATCCTAGCTTTCCTTTAGCTATTTGATTGCTATGTTTGTTAAAAGATTCCGTGGTTCTTGTTCTTTGCAGGCATATGCCTCTGCAGAGGCCAGATGCAATACACTGTTACAGCTTCCAAAGATACCCTCATTCCACAAATTTGCTAGACGTGAGCAGAATCCACAAAATGATGAGTGTGATAGTAAAAAAAGATGGTCTGGTGGTGTTTTTGGAAGGCAAGATTGTATTTCAGAGATTGATTCCAGGAATTGCAGAGTTAGGGACTGGTCTGTTGATTTCTCTGCTGCTTGTGTCAACCTTGATAATTCCAGAATGCCAGTTGATAACCTTTCACAGAGGAGTCACTCAAATGAGATTGCCAGCCATTTGAATTTCAGAGAGCACTCAGGAGAAAGTGCTGCTGGTGACAGCAGTATATACACAAAGGCTTGGATTGATACAGCTGGTGGTGTTGCAATTAAAGACCATCATGCCATAGAGAGATGGCAATCTCAAGCAGCTGCAGCCGATTCTTATTTTTCTAACCCAACTATTCATTTGAAGGACGAGGAGGATTCAAATGCCTGTTCAAAGCTGCCTAGCTGGAAGCGTGATGGTATTGCAAATGAGAGCTCTATTTCACAGGTTACTGTAAATAAGGAGTCCCTAAAAAGTCATCCCCGAGGAGCTGATCATATTAAACAAGCTGTTGTGGACTATGTTGCATCACTGCTGATGCCCCTTTATAAGGCGAGGAAACTAGACAAGGATGGATACAAAGCTATAATGAAGAAAAGTGCAACTAAGGTAATTTTTATCCTTCTCATTTCTACTTGCTATTGAAATTATTTTGTTTTATGTATATAGATGGAGGAAGAGAGATAAAAGATAATGAAATGCTAATTGTGATTTAATTGAGATGTATTGCAATGTGTTGATGCGTTTGATGTATTCATAAATCTTAATGTTACACTAATCTTAATACCAACTAATTAGGAAAACAAATCATGATAAAGAAATTGCTAGGCCAGTTAGTAGTTATGTACTTATGGTAGGAACTCATTAGTCAAAGAAATACAGTTGGGCTTGTAATTGATTAAGCCCATTAAGGGTGGGTTTACATTAGCAGATATCATAGTAGTCAATAGTGGTGGAGTGGCTCCATGCCGCTATAGAAACTTTGGAGCAGAGCAGTTTTGTGTAGCGATTGGAGTTGGCAAGATCACAGTGGAGCAGAGTGGGAGATTGTAGTCTGGTGTGGCAGTTTACCAAAATCCTGAAAATACCCTCATTAAATGAGGGTGTTTTTGTCCTTCCGTTCGAATTTTCTTTTTCTATTTAAGTGCGAAACAGTGCTTCCCTTCTCCCTCTATTGAGTGATGCACTTTGCCATAAGCTTGTAACTCCCTTCTGCCTTTCTTTCTTGAATGATTAGGTTCTTCTGTGATTTTTGTCTTTTCTTCTTTTTTCTTTCCTTTTTTTTTTTTTTTTTTCCTGTTCCCTTCTTTTTTCTTTTCCTTTTCTTTCTCTTTTTTTGGTTATTTTTTGTGGGCGTTTTTGTTCTTTGGTGATCAGCATAACCATGGCCCAACCAAATGTTGATCAACCAAAAAATCAGAGCTTGGTGTTGCTGGAACTGGTCCCAATTCCACACCATCAATGGGTTATTCAATCAGAAAGTTTAAGCCTACTGCTGAAAAAATTGATATCTTTTGGAAGTGGAATACTATGAACTTTTATTATTAAAAATGATTAAAGCATGAATTTAGAGTTATTTTTTCTGTTTTTTTAGTTTATATATATATATATATATATATTTATTTATTATATATAAATCTAATATTAGAATAGCGGTCATCTCACTATATGCAATCCCGCTATCCCACTTTTGGGGTCGCCACTCCGCTATTTGTGATCGATAATTATGTGCATATAAATAAGAGGGCATGAGATGGATTTTATCTGGTTTATTTGTGAGTGAATCCATGTCTTTTGACAATGGGAGGTGCAGACCCTCAAAGCTCTACAGGTTGTACAATTTTCTTTCTGTAATCCTAATATGGTTTATTATAAATATCACATATATTTATAAGATCTAAAATATCTCTAAATATCTTTAGATATTTGTTTTCTTATCCTTTATCATTTTGTTTTCATGTTTCTTTATTATTATAATTTCCTTTTTTAAGCCTAGTATTTTACTCTATAAAAAGGGAGATTAAGGAATGTACAAGACACAATTAATTAACATACAATTTCCTTTTTTTCGAACTTGGTATCAAGCTCTCGATCTTGGGAGTTTTGTTTCAATTGCTCAATATCATACGCACTATTTATCAGTAAAACTAATGCACATTGTTCATCGCCTCACTTGCACTTGTCAATTCACTGATCACACGTGTGTATTGTTCATCATGGATATTGTTCATGCGCCCTATTCATTCAGCATGCTTTTCACCTGGATATTTTGATATTCATTATGAAGGAGGTAGATTGTCTTCGAACCCTCCTTGATCCCATGAGTAAGGCCTTCGGGTAAGAGTTCTTTTAATATTTCTAGTTCTATTTTTCAAAGCATATAGGTTCTTGATTCTAGGGCAATAGACCACATGACCTCATTCCTTACACTTACAACATACACTAAAACACTTGACAAACAACTTATTAGAGTTACTAATGGAGATTGTGTTCCTATTGTTGGATCTGGAAGCATCTAACTTCAACCTTCTCTATCCTTACGCAATGTTCTGCATGTCCCTAAATTAGCTAATTATCTCATTTCTATACATAGGCTTACTCGAGACTTAAATTGCTTAGTAACTATCTTTCAAGACATTGTCTCGGGACAAACTATTTTAGTTGCTAAAGAGAAGGGTGGGTTGTACTTCTTGCAACATATGATAGATGACAATATCAGAAAAAAAAGGAGATATCTTCTAGTCAATAGTGTTTTAGACATCCTCCATTTGGTTTACTTAAATCTCTATTTCCAAATTTGTTTAGAAGCGTTTGTTGAGTCTTTTTCATTGTGATATCTGTCAAGTTTCTAAACACCATCATGCACTTTTTTTTGCCTAGTAATAGTAAAAGTGTTTCTCCTTTTGATCTTGTCCATTCCATTTTGGTGTTTGGAGACCTGTTGTTGAATATGTTCTTGGGGCCAGATGGTTTGTAACTTCCACTGATGATTGTACTAGTGTGACTTGGATGTACCTTATGAAACACAAATATGAGGTTTGTTAAATATTTGTCAATTTTTCCGTCTTGTCAAAAATCAGTTTGTAAAGTCTATAAAAAGAATTCGGTCAAAAAACGTCAAACAATGGAACTGAATATGTTAACCTTGAATTTTCCAAGTTTGTTATAGAGCAAGGCATTATTCATGAATTAACTTGTGTTAATACACCCCAACAATATGGAATTGCAAAAAGAAATAACAGTCATCTACTTGAGGTTTCTAGAGCTTTGCTTTTTCAAATGTTTGTTCTTAATGTCTACTAGGCTGAAGCTGTCCTAACTGCCACTTATTTCATTAATAGGTCATTCACTTGTGTCTTATAGGGCATTAGTCTACTTGAACACATGTCGTTCTTCTCCTCTCTCATTGTTAAGTCTCCCATGTTATGTATTTGGTTGTGTTGCCTTTGTTCATTCTCATAGTCATCATCGTGGTAAGTTAGACCCAAAAGCTATCAAATATGTCTTTATTGGTTACCTCTAATAAATAGGGGTACAAGAGTTTCACGTCCAAAGTAAAAAATGGATATACACTATGAAGTGTAAAGCTGATGGGACATTAGATCGATACAAGGTTAGATGGTGGCCAAGGGGTACACACAAACCTATTGCATTGACTATGAGAAGACATTTGCGCCTATAACAAAAATGATTGCAATAAGAATCATTCTCTCCCTAGCTGTCCACTTTGGTTGGGTTCTACAACAATTTGATATTAAAAAAGTCTTCCCCTAGGATTTGAATCTCATGCTGGAAAGAGTAAAGTGTGTAGGTTGATAAAGGCTTTGTATGGCCTCAAACAATCTTCTTGAGCGTGGCTTGGAAGATTTACTCAAGCTATGAAGTCCTTGGGATACAAACAAAGTCAAGTTGATCATACTCTATTCATAAAACATTTCCATGATGGAAAACTCACTCTTCTTCTAGTGTATGTAGATAATATGATCATTGCATGTGATGATGTGGTAGAGAAACTAATTCTAAAAGAAAAGCTAGCAACTCAATTTGAGATGAAGTTGTTGGGAAAGCTCAAGTAATTTCTTGGAATAGAAGTCGCCTATTCCAAAAAGGCATTTTATCTCTCAAATAAAGTAGTATATACTTGATCTTTTGAAGGAGACGTGAAATCTGAGATGCAAGACCACATGAGTACCCATTGAGCAAAATCACAAGATTGGAAGTGAAGAAAGTCCACCTTAGAGAAGTCCTAATACCAGAGATTGGTAGGGAAGTTGATATATCTATCTCACACTAGGCTTGATATTGCCTATGTTGCTAGTGTGGCTAGTAAATTTATGCACGATCCTCGTGAGAGACACCTTTAGACAATTGAGAGGATTCTCCATTATTTTGAGAGCAAGTCCAGGGATGGGGTTATTATTTAAAAGAGAAGGTCCATTGTCCATGGAAATATACATTGATGTTGACTATGCAAGGTCAATCATGGATTGAAGATCCATTTTTGGTTACTGAATATTTCTTAGTGGGGATCTATGAACATGGAGAAGCAAGAAGCAAAATGTAGTTGCTTGATCTTGTGCAGAAGCCAAGTATTGAGCTATTGTACATGGCATATTGAAGGATTATGGATGAAAATCATTCTTGATGACCTCAAAGTTAAATATGAGGGTCCTATAAAGTTGTTTTGTGATAACAATTCGGCTATCAACATTGTTCATAACTCAGTTCAGCATGATAGCACGAAACACAAAGAGAAGTTGGATTCTGGCCTTATAGTTACATCTCATATATCTACAATGTTTCAAGTAGCTAATGTCTTCACAAAGGGACTTCCTAGTGCTAGATTCCAAGTTCTTATCGGCAAGTTGGGATTGATTGATATTCATTTACTAATTTGAGGGGGAGGGTTGTAAATATCATAGATATTTAGAATATCTAAAATATCGCTAAATATCTTTAGGTATTTGTTTCCCTATTTCTTTATTATTTTGTATCCCTATCACTTTATTATTATTATTATTATTTCCTTTCTTAAGCTTAGTATTTTACTCTATAAAAAGGGAGATTAAGAAATGTACAAGACAAACAATTGATATACAATTTCCATCTTTTCAAACTTGGTTTCTATCAAATATTTGGTAATAATTAATCCTAGGTTTATTGTAATTTTTGTAACCCATGTTTCATGATCGCAAATAATGGTCAATGTATCACGTTAGTGTTCAACTAAAGGCTTTATACAATTAACTAACAAAGTGATGAAATGTGTGAAATTTTGAAAATTAGGTGGCAAAATGTGCAAAATTGTGAAACATGGGTGACAAAAGTGCAATTAAACTTTAATCCCAAGATAATGAAATAGGAAAATTAATTCTAGAAGATAATCCAAGTTATGGTGAGATATGTAAATATATTTTTGAATATTTCCATATATTCTAACACTTTCTATTTGTTACATTAAGAAAATGTTGTTATGATCTGGGAGGTAGGATGTTATAAGGAATAACAGATCTAGAATATCATCTTGAGTGAAATATGCTCTGCATTTTTATTATAACTTTCTTGGTACAAGTTTCAGGTCATGGAGCAAGCCACAGATGCAGAAAAAGCCATGACTGTTTGCGAGTTTCTAGATTTTAAGCGAAAGAACAAGGTAATTATATGTTACTTTCCATGTCATAGTTCTATCCATTAATCATATTGCACTTCTACAAAATAAATGTTCTGGAAAATGTTATTCATGTTACTTATGTTGGCACAAATTACTGCTTGGACCCCAGCTTCTTCAGGGGTGGGGTATGGTTTGCTGCAAAGTCAGGATTTGGGGTGTTTTTGTTTTTAAAAACTATTTTATAAAACATTTTTTAAAAGCTAATTTTTAGATATTTGGGAGTGGAGGAAGATGGAACAGTATAGTGGAAAATGAGTAATAGAAAACTGAAAGTAGAAAAACCCGAACAACTTAGAGATGTATGTATTCTGATTTTTTATTTATTTTAAAAACTGAAAAGAGATATATTTTTTTTAATATAACTACTCTTATAAAACAATTCTTTTAATAGTTCATCACTAAAATAGGAAAATGACATGCTTTAATCATTTATTTTATTTTTTCAATGATTGTTGGGCTATTGGAGCCTCATATGTGCTTCTGACATTCTCTTCAACTATTTTTCTTTCTCACTGACTGGTTGGATGTCTAACATGCAGATTCGCTCCTTTGTGGATATATTGATCGAGAGACACATGACATCGAAACCAGATATGAAATCTTAATGTTTGGGGATGGAATAGTCTGTACTTTGTTGTACCTCTTTGTAACAGTTGCCAAACTCTGGTTCTTCTTCCTACTTCAGTTCTCACAGTTTTGGTGAGCATGGGCATGTTCTCATATGAGCACCTCAATCTGCCTATGTAAATGATCTAGAAGGTACAATTAAAAACACAAACAAAACTTGATTGATTCAAATCAAGTGGGTTTTATGGAAATTCCTTGTCGGCTTGTCCTGGAACAGCATACTGAATACTGATGGTAGATGGCCAGTAAACCGGCTTCACCACCTCTAAACAGACTCTCATTGCAACTATCTGTTCGAGATTCAGTGTGATGGGCATTGGCAGGTTTGAAGATGACAGCAGGTTGCATTCATCCGTTGTTTAATATATCATCTTTCATTGAGGTTTATACCTTTGAGGATTGAAAACCTGGACCCTGTTTTTATTAAAGGGCTTTCTAAAGGGGAAGACATTAAATGACCTTATCAATTTATTCTCTCTGTACAGCATAGCATTGTTCTAGTGATGACAAGCATACATATCCATTTTCTATGTCCTACTAGAAACATTTTTCTTATTTAAGTTTAACATCAGTTACTAACTCTTTTTTTCTCCAAAGTGGGGAAAGAATTATGATTGCTTTTGTAAGATACTTGGTTATCCCAATCATTTGCTCCTCCATCTCTGTCTTTCTTGTCTTGTATGTTTGTGTTGCACATGTGCGAGCACCCTGTTTATTTATAATTGAATCAGCTTCCACGTGTGCGCTTAAAATAATTAAATAGATACACTGCTTCCTTGGCAAACGAGCTTTTCAATTTAACTATAATTATGGTCAAAGGATTGCGCCATGGGATGCCCTACAACCCAAAGTCATTTTATATTGATGTGTATAATCCGTGGGCTGCTGTACTAATCATTGCTTACACCTCTTCCTATGGTTGCTAGGCTGAGAAAGATTATATCAATCACTAATGGGAGGAACTAGGTATTCTGTCTTTTCCCTGTGTTTTGATGTTTATTGCAACTCTTACCTTCTTCAAAGCCAATTTTCAGGTGTTTTCTGTTTTCTTAATTGTACGTTCTTTCATTCTAATGTATATTGCGACCCTCGGTGCTGGGGTGGATAGCCTTGTTATGATATTATTGCTTTTGTTTCTGCTGCAGACGGTCATCATGCCAGCAGTATGCCATGGAAATTAAATTTCGCTGGGTGAGTAAACTTTTGTCTTTGCATTGCAGGCAATTTCCCCCTATCTCAATTGTTCAACCCTATGAATTCCCCTCATATTGGTTGCTAAGAATTTCTGTGATGTTTGTTATTTTTTTTTTTTTGATTTGGGGAATGAGCGATGCTATTTCAAATCGCTTGCATGCCCCCAACGGAAAATTATCCTATTACTTTTATTTCGGAATTTCTGGTATGATTCATTTGAAACTGCCATTTGGCATTATGTTGCTGAATTTGATGATGTTATTTTATTTTGTATTCTTATCAGATAATATGCTTAAATGGTATCAGGCTATATTATCTCAAGAGTTGCCTAATGTCGAAATATTACGTTGTTGGTATTGATCTTTGTGAAAATATTACGTTCTTAGTATTGTATCACAAGCATGTTGCAATTTATTTGGTTTTAGGTGGGTTGCTAACTCTAACTTCTATGTTGAGATCAAACTATAGATGTAGTGTTGCATCGGCAAATGGGATACAAGTGCAGGTTGTGGCGATTTCAAATCTACACGATGAAACTGGCATTCTTGCTCTCTTGCATTACTTTAACTAAAGTGACGCGTTTATTTCCTTATATTTCTACAGTTCGTGCACTTTGATTTTGATATTGTAAATTAAGCTAGCACCGCTTCTGTTATTATTGGCTCTAACCTGAGGGCATGCATCTATTTTGAAAATTAGATGTTCTTACCAATTTTCTGAGCTAACCATCAACAAGAAGAGCTAAAGTATAGGACGTTATATGAAAGGTTTTCTTAGAAATGTACATACAGTGTACTTAGGTGTGTTTTTCGATACTAATCGTTTTGCATGATTTTAAAGATAATTGGAGTTTTATTTAAAGGTGTTATCGCTATAAAAGTTGGCTGTTTACATAGATATTGTACAACTAGAATTATAAGTCTTGTTTATTTATTTATTTTAATTCATATTATATGTAATACTCCTTGAGACGTAAATTTATTTCTTGTTTAGAGCCATGATACCATTTATTTAATATGAATTTAATTTTTCTTGTTTTGCATGAATTTAAACTTATAAGTTTTTTTTTTTATATTAGAATAATGGTTCGTTTAAGGAGTGACACTGAGACGTAAACTAATTTCTTGGCTATAGTGATTTACAGGACTTTTTTTTTTCCTTTTCGGGCTTAAATTTTCATAATATTGCCCTATCCCACTAATGGGACTATGCTATTCTAAGGGATATTTAGCGGTGGAAAGGCTTTGTTTTCTATTTCTTAAATTTAAGATCTAAATTTGGTCTTTAAATTTAATACAAGTATTTATTTGAGGTAAAATTAGTATTTTGTCTCTAATTATTTGTGTTGCATTCGAATTTGTAGTTCTTTTTTATATTTTGATTCATTAATTTAAAGCCTATTCATTAGTTGTCTTCCCATAAACAACGTCACTCCTTTCGTCACCCCCTCCCTCTCCCCTCAAAAAGATAAAATAAAAACTAAAATATAATTTTTTTTTTCATAAAATGTTTGAATAACCTTATTTATAATTATTTAAAAAAAAATATAAAGGTAAATCAACTGATGCACTTTAACGTCTGAAACTGTTGCATGAAAAAACATTCTATAAAAGGTAGATATATAAGTTAATTTTAATTTAGAAGATAAGCTTAATATTTTTAAAGGAAAAATGGTCAACCTTAAAAATTAATTTCTCAAGAAAAATCCTAATCTTTGACTACCATTTTTCCGTTCTTTTGTAGCATAATTATAACATGTTTAAATACAAATTTAAAAGTTTTTGAAAAAAAATTATTAAATTTTATCGAAATTCACAAAACTCTTTCAAATATGTATCCGAACATCTTTTCAGAATTTTCTGTCTCTCGGAGGAGAGGTGAGACGAAAAGTCTACACAATCAATGCCCAATGACAGCCATATAAGATATAACCCCTTATATCCACCATTCTGATCCGTTATCGTAAGCAACCCCTAAACACAATACAAAAGAACACTGGCTCGCAGTTTTTTTATTAATTTTTTTTTTGTTGCATAAAACAGTAAAAAAAATTAGAGAAACTCCCAGACTCAACCATGGCTTCGGGTTATCAAATTCAAAGCTACGCATGAGAGAGATCAAGAAGAGAAAAACCACACTAAAGTGCTTTCATGATCTTTGATTGATTTTGAAGCGTAAAAAGGAACCATAAAAGAATATCTATTTTTTCATCTTTATTTTTAAGCATGTAAATTCAAAATATAATTTACATGTTAAAAATATTTATTTATTATTATTATAATTATAATATAATTTATATATTAAAAAAATTACTTTAAAATTTAAAATATAAAAATAAAAACATTTATTCTATGTATTGTACGAACTAAAATTCTAAAATTTATATATAGTTTGTTACTTAAAAAAATTATTTTTCAACGTTATAAATAAATCATATTTTTTTATTCTAAAATTCAATTTACTAGTTTACAATTTTATAAAATACTTTTTAAATATTATAACATATATTTGAAGAGAAAAAATCTTTTAGTAGCTTACAATTTTATATGTTGAGAATGTTGTGGATGTTGTAAGTTGTGATTGATTGAAGTTGTGGTTACATTTTAAGTTGAAAACTAGCCTATTGTTTTAAATTGACTATATTTGTTGAAGTTGTTACTTCTCTTTGTTGTTATGTTGTTTTCTTTCACAAGTTTATCCTTACTTTTCTATGTTGTTGAACTCTAATGATTGTACTTGATTTAGGAACAAAACATGATTAGGTTGGAAGACTTTGATTGGTGGATGGTCATGTCAGAAATGACTAAGTTTCAGGTGTACTATTTTGATATAATACTTGTATAGAGATGTTTGACTTACAATATGGTTATTTTGTATTTAGTAGTATATATTTGATGTATATTGTAGATATGAACATGGTTTATATGTAACTGGATAAAAGATTTTATGTTTTCTAGTTATATTGACAATAACTGTTTTATGTTTTCTGCATTTTATATATATATTCATTACAAGAATATCTATGTATTATTGTATGAGAATCCTAATATAGTTGATTATTTTATGTTTTTCACTACATTATAGCTATGTTATACTAAATGTAGGGACAGTTGGATCGTTACATTATTTCTCTTAAAATATTATTACAATAAATCATATTATCATTAATCATTTACTCACTATTTTTCTTTCTATTATTTTTAGACTAATTATTTTCTTTTCTTAAATCATTAAATTAATTCTGCAAAATAAAAGAACAAATTGGATAAACATAAATATTTTCAAAATTTTAATCATATTTCCAAAATATTTAATTAATTATAGATTTTATTCTAAATTATAAACGTTATCTTTTATATAATTTAGAAACTTTAATATTTTAATTACAATTAAACTAAAATAAATCATATTCTCATTTTTTTACACCAAATTTATATTCTCATTAATTATTGACTAATCAAAATATTATATTTTATATAAATATAATTACACCAAAATAAACATTACCTCTTATTTATTATGAGAATCTTTTTCTTTTCTTTTGTGTTGAGGAATTTTTTACATTATTATTTTGTAGTTATTAAACCACTTATTTAGTTTAAGAAACTATGCGTATTATATATGAAAAAAATATAATACACATTTTTTTTCTTATATTACTGTGATTTAATTAATATTGATAAAATTAAAATAGTATTAATTAACATTAATAAAAGGAAAAATTGAAATATATATATGTATGTATTTTATGTAAAATAAAATTATTTCTTTAAATATTTTGACTAAATTAAAAAAACATCAAAATTATTTTAGCATATTGTGGAAGGAAAAATCATATAAGTAGTCAAATTAGTTTCAAGGTATATATCCCTACGTTATTATTTAGCACTTCAAATGCTGGTATGCAATTCAAATTTTAATAAAAACAATTTTCATTAGTGATTTTGCTCATAATGACTATAAACAAAATTTAAGATCAATCTTTAAAGCATATTGGGAGTGTATCTTCCAAAACTAGTTTTTTTTTTCTCATGGTCAACTATATCTAGTAATTTCAAGAGTTATAAATAAGAGAAAAATAAAAATTTTAGTTAGTAATAATGAGAATGAAGATTCAATTATGTGTTCTAATGTTGTTACTACTTCCATTCTTATATATAAGATCCAAATACCTACTTCATTAAGATTAAAAAAAATAGTTAATCTAGTTGATAATAATAATTTTGTTCTATTTATATATTTTTTCCCCTAAAACTACCCTTGTACTACTTTTCTCTCTTAACTAATATTCATCTCTTTTAATCAATTAGAGTATATGCTCTATATCACTTCTCTTTAATAATTAATATTTTTTATTCTCTTAACCAATTAAAATGCATGTCTTTTAAAAAGTCTACAATTAATATATTCTATCAAATTAAGAGAACACATTTTAATTAGTGACATTTTAGTTTAAAAATAATTAATACATCAAACACTATGAATTGAGTTTTTTATATCGAAACAAAATTTAAGTACAATTTCTTAGATAAGGTTGATATTGTTTTCTAGTCATAATTAAATATTTACTTTTGTAATATACATTTGTATTTAATTCAAATTTCATTAATATACATTTACGTATTTTGTTATTCTCTATTTCTAATTGGAGAATATCATCTTTATTAAGAAATTATACCAAAGTTTTATCTCCTATATAAAGAAACAAACATTTTTTTTTTCTAAATTAGATCTTATAAATAGAAATATAAATAATATTTATTTTAAATTTTATTTTATATTAACATTGATTATTTAGATTGATAACAATAGTTAACAAATTTATTTTAAAATTTAATTTATATCAATTCTTGTTTTATAAATCGATAATATTATATAAGTTAATCACCTATACACTGTTATTGTAAAAATTTTTTACACTGGTCACCAATTATATCTTTTAGTTATGTCATGTCACCGTTAAAAGTAAATATTTTTATAGTGACATGACACAATTAAAAGATATAATTAATTGTCAGTGTAAAAAAAACTTTACACTATCAGTGTATAGATGATTAACATTATATTTATAATAATAAATAAAATAATTTAAATCTATTCTTAAAATATTTAAAATTTAAAAAATAAATTTAATTATATTAATTCAATTATTTCAACTCAATCAAAACTGCTTATAATTGGATTAAATTTCATAATTAAAATGCATAAATTCAATTTATCCCGATCCATTAAATTTTCATCCTGTCAGATATATTTTTTTTGTTAATGTGCGTCATTGCCCGCGTAAGCGGTTTCTCGCATCTTCACGTGCTTATTCTCCCCATTCCGTGTGGTCTTAGTAGTATCATTAACTTGGCGGCTTCGCTTTTCTTTTGCAGTAAGAAATAATAGTCAAAACCCATTCCCCTGTTCTTCTCTCTGCTTCATGCCTCCAATCACACTCACTTTTCTCACACCGTATTCCTATCTGACTCATTAATCAACAGCGCTGGTCGGAAACAGAGCCAGTTAGTTAGTTTTTTCATGAACACAATTCGGTCTCGTTTTCTGACGAGAATGGCCGAAGACATAGGAAAAACCAACCTCGAATCCTCTGCTTCTGCTGCTGCTGCTGCTGCTTCGACAACCTCCAGGGGATTCTGGCCTTCCGTCTTACGTTGGATCCCCACTTCCACCGACCACATCATCAGCGCCGAGAAGCGGCTTCTCTCTCTTGTCAAGTACGCGATCCACTAACCCTAAATTTTCCTTTACTCTTTCTAATTTTCATTCAAAATATTATAAGTCTCTGTTTGCTTTCACTTTGGATTCTCCAAAATCACGTTCAAATATCGGTTAACGTGATTTTCATTACATTTTCACGTGTTTGATTGATCACGAGTATAAAATTGGTCTGAGTTGAAACAACTTTTGTACTGGATTTTACTATTAATTTGTTTAATAAAAACATCTAAACATAAATCACGTCGCTTCGTAATCAATTTTAACCAAAATTAATTTCATTCAGAATCGTTTTTGTCGAAATTCGACCAAACATTAACGCACTGAATTATGGATTGTGATTTTTGATTTTGGCAGGACTCCGTATGTTCAAGAACAGGTTAATATAGGTTCTGGTCCACCTGATTCCAGAGTTAGATGGTTCCGTTCATCCAGCAATGAACCGCGGTTTATTAACACTGTTACATTTGACAGTAAGGATGATTCTCCTACGCTTGTCATGGTTCATGGATACGCCGCGTCGCAGGGGTTCTTTTTTCGCAATTTTGATGCCCTTGCCTCACGCTTCAGAGTCATTGCTATTGATCAACTTGGGTGAGCTTTTGCTTCTCTTCATCCACTGTTCCAAATTAGACTCTGTTTAGATAAACTTCTCGAAAAACAGTTCTAGGTGGAAATAACAGTAACAAAAAAAAGAAAAAAGAAATAAACATTTTCATAAGCTAATCTGAAATTAACTTATGCATGTTAGCTTCTCCAAAAGTGTATTTTTAACTTATACATAAGCTAGTTTTAGCTCATAGAGAGAAGCTTGTGTCATTTTTTCTTCATATTTTTTTTCCTTCTAGAAGTATTTCTAGAGAATCTGTGTTTTGTGCAAACTGATTATTCAGTTAACTCTTTTTTTTCACTTTTTTGCAGTTGGGGTGGTTCTAGTAGGCCTGACTTTACATGCAGAAGCACTGAAGGTCAGTTCTAGAGTTGAATTGGAATTTGGAGTGTTTAGGGTTGTTGCTTAACTTGAAAGTTACTGTGGCAAAATGCTAAACTTCTTGATGCAACAGAAACTGAGTCGTGGTTTATTGATTCTTTTGAGGAATGGAGAAAAGCCAAAAACCTGAGCAATTTTATACTACTTGGGCATTCTTTTGGTGGTTATGTTGCTTCCAAGTACGCACTTAAGGTGAATTTCTTTTGACATTGTGTTAAGATGACTTGTTTGGTTTTCTTCTTTTTCAGAATTATTCTGATGTATATCTTAAAAATTGTATATAGCACCCCGAGCATGTAAAACACTTGATTCTGGTGGGACCTGCTGGATTTTCATCAGAATCAGAAAGAATTACAAAGTTCTTATCAACGTGGAAAGGATCACTACTGAACCAGATTTGGGAATCTAATTTTACACCTCAAAAAATCATCAGGTTGAATTACTGTTTTTCTTATTTTTTTCATCCTCATTTATCTATAATTTATCATTTTTCTTAAATTACAGTGTAGGTTGCCTTGAGATTTTTTCTTAAACTACTGGTATGAAGGAAATATTATTCAGAAAATGAAAAGTGGGGAGACAGTAGAAAATATTAGCAACTACATTATTATTTCAGTTCTTTCACCTTCTTGGTGTATCACATTCTTGTATATAATCTCCAAATATTTGTGTTTTAAAAGTTTTTTTGATTACTGTGTCTGTTTATCTGATTATAATGCTATGGTGATCACTGGATGCCACGAACACCCAAGTCTTAAAAATGTTTCCAAAAGTTGTCAGTAAAATAAAAGTTTGAATCTAATGATAATATGGACTATACATTTATTTACATTTTCACTTTAGCACTCTGATTCTTTTTCTTTGTTATCTCTTCGAATGGCATTGTTGCTGAAATAAACAAATATATTGACTTGAATTCAAATTGTCTCTTTATTGAATGATGGGTGGTGTTAAATTGTTAAATATTATCCCTAAGTCATAGATTAAATCATTTTTGATAGAACTTTTTGCTTAGTCTAGTTTCTGTCATATGGAATCTACTTCAGGTGTTCCAAATCGATGCATTGTAATATTTGTATCAAATATGTTGGGTGGTTGGTTGTAGCGATAGGGGGAGGGAGGGTTGAGTTCTCATTCCTGATTACTTGAAGGAACAAGGAAGTACAATTGCATTCTTTTTTATTTTTATTTTTTGACTGTGCCAAACATTCTTTTTCATTAGTGTTTTTTCTGTTATTACATTAAACATTTTTTTTAATATAGTATTGTCTCTGTTTAATACTTTTCTACATATTTTATGGCAGAGGTTTAGGTCCTTGGGGTCCTGATATGGTCCGCAGGTATACAAGTGCCAGGTTTGTTACACACACAACAGGGGAAATGCTGTCAGAATCCGAATCTAGATTACTGACAGGTATGGTGAGATAAACATCAATTCATGGTTTAACTGAAAGAGTGTATTTCTTTCATTTTTTGGAGTACTCACAAGAGTATATTTCGCTGTTTTGTTTTTTTGCTATTGCAGATTATGTTTACCATACTTTAGCAGCTAAAGCTAGTGGCGAGCTGTGCTTAAAATATATATTTTCATTTGGAGCACTCCCGAGGTCACCTCTTCTTCACAGGTTTGGTGTTCATCCTCCTGCTATATTGATCATTGAATGGAATTAACAATTCACTTATGCACTTCTGCTTCAAAATATAATGTCTTTAACAGGAAGGTTGTTATTAGTAAGACAATGATATTCAGATTTCAGATGATAATTGCTTCTAGCCTATAATGATCTTGTGTTGTAATTTTTTCCCCTTTTACTATTCTATTTATGATACAAAATTAGTATACTCAGCTTCTTCAGTATACAATCAGCATACAATCTCCCCTTCTAATCACATTTTTTTAATCCACAAGATTCAAACGACATGTTATTGACTTATTGGTACATAGTTCATTTCTGATCGCTGAATTCACATCGAAACCAGAGGCAATTTTGCAAGCGTCCAACTATCATTCAACCAAGAAAAATAAAAAAATGGAACACCTGTAAAAAGTTAAAAACTAGCCTGAGGCAAATTGAAGTTTTCTATGGTTTGAAAATCCTATGTAAATATCCAAAACTCTGAACTAGTAAAGGTTTGACCACGTAATTTTCCACTGCTTGTGCCACATGGCTATTAACTTTAGCAAGGTCGTGTTAAGTCTTCATTTCTCTATTGCTTCAAATTAACCGCTCCACTTATACTGGATTTATTATGTGTATTTTGATTTGGCGTGTGTGACGTTTTTAACCTCCCTTTCTCTATTTGCTTCCACAGTGCCTCAGAGTGGAAGGTGCCCACCACTTTCATATACGGCTTTCAGGACTGGATGAATTATGAAGGGGCCCAAAAAGCTCGTGAAGATATGAAGGTTCCATGTGAAATCCTTAGGGTTCCTCAGGTATCACTTTCCCCATTTCCCCAAACAATGAAGTGATCTCGATTTGAATATTATTTGGACGGTTTGATTACCCTTTTGTTCTTTATAGTTGCATTTACGTTTTAGTCTTTATAAATAAAACTATTTCATTTTAGTTTCTGTATGTAGTTTTTGTTTCTTTTAGTTCAAACAAAAATGATGTATATAAAAACTAATGTGGAGCATTGCTCTACTATAAAGATTAAACAAAAAGGTAATTGAACCTGTTTGGACTAAAAAACTTAATTTACTTGTTGCAGGCTGGGCACTTTGTGTTCATTGACAACCCAAGTGGCTTCCATTCAGCTGTGTTTTATGCTTGTCGAAGGTTTCTTAGGCCTGATCCAGACAGTGAATCCCTTCCTGAAGGGCTAACCTCGGCATAGGGTATAATGTTGTGCAGTACTGTCTGTGATTATATATTCTTTTACAGATTAAATTCCTTTATTAATTCAAGCCATGTCCTATTCATGCTTAAACGGAATTTCCAATTGTAATGGCAATTCAAAGAATAAAGATCTGTCATATAAGTTTCATTACTCAAACATGTTATTAGGTTGCTTATACTATTTATTTAGTGTTATCAGAGAAAAATTATTAGAAAAAAAGCACTTCGCACCAATAATTTTATTAAAAAAACGAGAAACAAATTGTATCCCTAAACACCACGTGAAATTGTGACAGAAGTTTAATTGACAAGGACAGATCTGAGAGAGGATAACAAAGCGGAGTAGGCAGATTTCTAATTTCCATACTGATAGGTCGAAGGTACAGCCTGTGGGACACAATTGATAGTCTGCATATCCGTTAAAGGAAGGAAAGCAAAAAAGAAAAAACAAAGCTAGTAGAAGTAGTTCATTAAGTGCAGTCAAAAGCACTATAGTTAAGAAATGAACTGCATCCAGTACAGTTTGGATCCAAAGACTTTCACTAACAAAGTACAATTATTTATAATTTTTCAATAAAACAAACTTAATGTTATAACAGCCAAAATCTATTTAGTTTGAAAAGCAACTGGTGAGGGTTTTAATCCGAAGTGGAACATCTCATCAGAGTTTCCCGACCCATTAGGGAACTTTTGCAATTTCTTTTCATTTATTTTATTTAATATAAGATAAATAATTTATATTGTAGTACAATATTATTGTTAATTATTGATAATTTATTTTAAAGTATTAAAATTTTATTCATAATATAAATATGATAAATAAATAACTTAAATTAAATAAGTAGTTAAAATAATCCTTATAAGTGCCTTTATTAAAGAATAGTCCTAAAATACTCGTGTATGTAGGAATTGATTTTTTATTTATTTATAAATATTATCTTTTAGAAACTAATTTTTAGAAGATTGTTTGGAGATAGATGTGTCGGATTTTAGTTTTTATAGCATATTTAATACATTTTAGAAAATATGAAATATAGAAAAATTATTTTTTGGAAGTGTTAAATTTTTACACTTTAAGCAAAAATTGTTTTCTTTGAGAAAATGTATTCTCTTTTCATTTTGTGGCTGTACTTTTGATTACAAAATTATCATTTTGTTTTCAATTTATTTTCTATTATCAAGATTTATATATGTAAAATTCTTTTTTTTAATTGTTTTCTACACAAATATTTTTTCAAAGTAAACGAGCTCTTAATGTCAAAGTTCATCGAATAGTCAAATCTTAATTATTTCAAAAACTAAATTAAAAAATATAAATAGTATTTTTATTTTCAAATTTAGTTTCTGAGATATAATAAAACTATTAAAACTAAATCTTAAGACTTACATATTTTTATAAGTATGTTCCATAAGTTAACTTTTGAAAAGAATAATTTTGAAGAAAAATTAAGATATAAAATAAAAATGATGTAAAGAAATAAAAAGTAAACAGGATGCCCAAATGAAAATAAGTTGGATAAAAGTTTTGATAGCCATTGAGTGGAGTTAGAATTTAGAACTTAGTTAAGGCTACTGTTACATTACATTTGTCGATAAATTCCTAACATGATGTGTAAAAATATCAAAATATCAAAATTCATTAACTTCTATTATCGTTTATTATATTTCGGTAAATTCCTAACATGATGTAAAAATATAAAATAGTCCTAAACCTTTTCATTGCGACTTACGATATACTACACTGAGGGGTAAGAGGGTTTAAGTTCAATGGAAACGGTGCTTCCTCGCGTTGGCCTCGGCCTCTGCACTCCGCGCCCAATCCACCCTTCCCGAAAGCCCAACAAACTCCGTTCCTCCTCCGCCTCCCGCGGCGGCGGCTCCCTATCTGCTACCTGTGCCACCAGCAAATGGGCGGAGCGCCTCATTTCCGACTTCCAATTCCTCGGCGACGCCACCTCGAGCGCCGCCGCCCTGAGCCCATCCATCCCGCCGCGACTCGACCCTCCCGAGCGCTACGTGTCGATCCCGCTCGACCTTTACCGCGTCCTCGGCGCCGAATCGCACTTCCTCGGCGACGGCATTCGCAGGGCCTACGAATCCAAATTCTCGAAGCCTCCACAGTACGCGTTCAGCAACGACGCTTTAATAAGCCGCCGCCAAATCCTCCAAGCCGCGTGCGAAACCCTAGCCGACCCTGCTTCTAGAAGAGAGTACAACCAGAGCCTCCTCGACGACGAGGACAACGCCATTCTCACTCAAATCCCCTTCGACAAGGTAACGGTTCTTTCTATTCTGCCTCAATTGAACTTTCAATTACAATTGAACTGATTTGCGAAACGACGACGTAGGTTCCTGGAGCGTTGTGCGCGTTGCAGGAAGCTGGAGAGACGGAGCTTGTGCTGGAGATTGGGCAGGGTTTGCTTAGGGAGAGGTTGCCGAAGACGTTTAAGCAGGATGTTGTGTTGGCTATGGCGCTGGCTTTTGTTGACGTGTCGAGGGACGCTATGGCTTTGTCTCCGCCGGATTTCATTGCGGCCTGTGAGATGCTCGAGAGAGCATTGAAGCTTTTGCAGGTGATTTACATTCTTATGTGCTTTGTTCGTTCCTTAAACATCGTATAAGGGTCTCTTTGTTTAGATAAACTTCTCCGGAAGCGCTTATAAGAGAATAAATAGGAGAGAAAATTGAAACAAACTTCTACATAAGTTAATTTGTAGAAGCTCTGTCGATTTAGCTTCTCTAAAAGCTTTTATTTTTATTTTATTTTTTACTTATGCATAAGTTAATTTTACCTTATGAAGAAGTATATTTCATTTTTTCTTCCTATTTTCTTCTCCAATTAGTGCTTTTGGATAAGTTTATTCAGCCAATATGTAGAAGCTCTATGTAATTGCTTCTCCAATAACGTATTTTTAATTTGTATATAATTTAGTCTTGGCTTATGGATAAACTTATTTAATTTTACTTTTATATATTTTTTTTTCTCTACAAGTGTTTTTGGAGAGGTTTATACAAATAAATCTGTGATAGAATAAATAAAACAAGTACTAATTGTTGACTTTTATAAGTTTGTTGACTTTTATAATAATTATTTTAAAAGTAAAACCAATAATGATTACTAATTGGTTGACATAGTAAACTTTTACACTGGCCGAGCATGCTTTTTTAACTATTTTAGGTGTGGTGATTTTGTTGGACATCGACACTTTTTACTTATGCCTTTCACCATGTGTGGCCATGTGTGCTTATTAGTCAAATAATCAATTTATTGTATATTCATGCCAAATGATTGTTCTCATTTTAAAATTAATTTTTAACTTCTAGATATAGCATTTATAAGACAATGATAACTAATAGTTTATATTCAAATTGTGTATTAAATCCCTTATATGCCGGTTACCTTCTCTATCAAATATTTCTCTTATTAATTAGTTTCTCTCTTGTTGGTTACATTAGCATTCTATCTCCACCATCATTTTTGTCTCATTTACTATTAGTGTATAAATCATTCAAGAATTAGATAAAGAGAAGGATATAATAGACAAAATAGTTATGTTTGGCTTTTAAAATAACAGATAAGTAAGAACAAAAATCCTCTTCTAAATGACAAATAAAAAGGAGTTGAGGGGTAATTCATTAAGTAATTGAAGAATATTAGCTAGCTATAGAGCATGCACATCTTATAATTGGCCCATTCTTTCATTACAATTTTATGAGGGCGAGCATTGGTGCAAATGTGCAGTGGGGAGGTTGCTGCTTTGTGACTTGTAAGTCTTAGGTTTAATCCTAGAAATAGACTCTATGGTTGCAGGGGTAAGGTTGTGTACATCTACCCTTCCTAGACACGACTAGGTGGAGCCTTGTACCGTGTTTCCCTTTTATTCCTTCAATACAATTTTGAACTCCCAATTTAAGCTTTGGTCAGGTTGATGCAGTTATAGATTGATTTGGTGCTGATGTAGGATTAAGCATATTAAAGCAAGACACTGTGCTTTTGTACAGACATTAATGATCTTAGAGGTTGAAATTTGTGAATGAAAATGAAAGGCATGGTGAAGTATGTTATTTCTTTTGATACTTAGTACTGTTGCATTTATAAAATTACTTGTATTTAATTTGCTATAATAACATAATGTGTATATGTATATATATCTTGAAGATTTCTATGTTGTAGTTGCATTGTAATATGCTGTACAATAAACTACCTGACCATGTAGGAAGAAGGGGCAACCAGCTTAGCTCCAGATTTACAAGCACAAATAGATGAGACGCTAGAAGAGATAACCCCACATTGTGTCTTGGAACTTTTAGCCTTGCCTCTTGATGATGAACATCGAGTGCGGAGGGAGGAAGGTCTTCTAGGTGTTCGTAACATTTTGTGGGCAGTTGGAGGAGGGGGCGCAGCAGCAATTGCTGGGGGTTTCACACGTGAAGACTTCATGAATGAGGCATTCTTACACATGACAGCGGCTGAACAGGTGTTCATGAATAATTTTTTGCATACTTTTATTTCTACTTTGTTTTGTATTTATTTATAAAGAATTTACATTTATCATTTCTTGATCTTCTTTTGAAGGTTGAACTTTTTGTAGCCACTCCAAGTAATATTCCAGCTGAAAGTTTTGAAGCATATGGAGTTGCACTTGCACTGGTTGCACAGGCCTTTGTGGGTAAAAAGCCACATCTTATCCAAGATGCTGATAACTTGTTCCAACAACTTCAACAGACTAAGATTACAACTGTGAGGAATGCACCCTCTGTTTATACTCCCAAGGAGAAGAGAGAGATTGATTTTGCTTTAGAAAGGGGCCTCTGTGCACTGCTTGTTGGGGAGCTTGATCAATGTCGGTCATGGTTGGGACTAGATACTGATAGCTCTCCTTATAGAAACCCATCAATTATAGAATTTATTATGGAGAATGCAAAGGGGGATGAAGACAGTGATCTTCCTGGACTCTGTAAATTGTTGGAGACATGGCTGATGGAGGTGGTTTTTCCCAGGTTTAGAGATACAAAAGAAACCAGATTCAAGCTTGGAGATTACTATGATGACCCAACAGTGCTGCGATATCTAGAGAGGCTGGAGGGTGTTGGCCGTTCACCCTTAGCTGCTGCTGCAGCCATAGCGAAAATTGGAGCTGAGGCTACTGCTGTCATTAGCCAGGTCCAGGCTAGTGTAATAAGTGCATTGAAAAAGGTATTTCCTGTTCGTTCTGAAGGTCAAATTGTGAAACATCAAGAAAATGGTGAGAAGGATGATTTTGGCTTTTCTGAAAGTGTGAATCCTCTGATATTATCAGATCGGGATTCTTCAGCCAATATTGAGGTTCCTGGAATAAAAAATACTGCCGAGACCAGTGAAGGTGAAATTATTACCGATGAAATTAAAAATGCTAGTGTGCAGATCATGTGTGCTGGTGTTGTAATTGGACTTGTAACTATGGTTGGTTTAAAAGTTTTACCTGCTAGGAATGGATCGCCGACGCATAGTAATATGACTGGTTCAGCAATAGCATCAGATACTATCAACTTAGGTAAGGTTTTTGGAGACATCTGCAATTTGGAAGATTAGTACACATGGTTACTTATAGATGATCTGAAGATTCATTTGCTGCATATCCAAAATTGGGTTTTATAAGTCTATGGTGTAAATTTCATGCATTAATTGCTTACTACTGCACAGGTTCCTTGGCAGATGAAGAAAAAGGAGAGCAACTACCAAAAATGGATGCAAGGATTGCAGAAGATCTAGTTCGCAAGTGGCAAAGTATAAAATCCCAAGCTTTTGGACCTGACCATTGCCTAGGAAGATTGCATGAGGTAAGGAATTTAACTGATCTGCATAAAATTGGAGATCATAAGCTTTTCAAAAATTAAGCACTAGTATGATCAATAAACTGATTCAACCCTTCACCAATGGTTATGCTAAATGTGGCAATTATGCAATCATGTGTCCTCTTCTGCATTTTATCTGAGGCTTCTTTTGTGCAATTATGCATCTTTATGGTGTTTATTATTTTTTCAATTGAATCCCAATCTGGTATGATACGATACCATTTAGGCCATGTTTGTGGAGTTTTGGAAAGCACTTTTATATATTTTTGTAGAGAAATCCAATACTGTTTACTGCTCAATCTTTATAATAAACCAACTTCCTTCCTTTATTTCATGATGATAGGGGTTCCATCCCACCTCCATGGAAGAATCCCCTGAAGTTAACAAACTAGGGTTATTATATTGAATCACTGTTCAGTTTATGAGCAGACCACCTTATACAAACCCAACAAACCCTTTAGCTCTTCGTCCCACACTCTGATATCGGCAGTTATTGCATTTCCATCCTTTTAGTGTTCTAGTGAGGAATTCAACTTTTATTTTAGATCGGAACTGAACTCAGATCTAATTCCCTCAAATATAATCTGAGCCCTTGCATGCGATTAATAATATTATCATGTGCACATATGGGCAAAGTCCCGTGGATATTGAGAAGCAACTTATGAATGTACTTTATGATATGATATTATTTGTATGCTCTTCTTTCTCCTGACCCAGTACCCAGTCTGTAAATATTTTCTTTTGATTCTGTTTCACTTTGACTGCCAACAGTCTTGAGGCTGTTATGCGGTGGATTATCATATTTGTGTAAGAAGTTTTGCTGAAAGTTGAGACCTGCTAGGTATTGGACGGTGAGATGTTGAAGATATGGACAGATCGTGCAGCTGAGATTGCAGAGCGTGGTTGGTATTATGACTACACCTTGGAGGACCTCAACATCGATAGTGTGACCATCTCACAGAATGGGAGGCGTGCAGTGGTGGAAACAACTCTTAAAGAGTCTACTCACCTCAACGCCGTAGGTCATCCACAACACGATGCTTCTAACAGCAGAACCTACACAACAAGATATGAGATGTCTTTCTCAGGTCCAGGGTGGAAAATTGTTGAAGGAGCTGTCCTTGAGTCGTAAGTAGATTATTTAACTCGTATGTATATTAATCAGGTTATCACACTTTAACTTCATCTACTGCCTTATGTGTAATTTTTTTATTTTAAACCTTGTGCGCTTTTCAAGCACGTTCATAGGCTAGATGTAAATACTCGCGGTGTCTGCCGTTACGATTGTCTTTCATTTACCTGCATTCGTTTGGGAGGATGGAATAAAATAAAAATGAGATAAAATGAAAAGGAAATGATGAGATGGAAAATGCAGTATTGTCCATGTTTAGATAATTAGGAAAGGAATAAATCCTTAGCTGAGATTGTAATTAACTACTTTAATATTTAATTCTATTAAATTAACAGTAGTCTCTTGTAATTTAATTTCGCCCCTCGCGAAAGAACGCATTGCAACCTTAGGTTCAATTTCTGATGATGGCAATGCTCAACCTTGCCAGTCTCCCGTTCTGTTTCTCTTTCTCTGGTGACTGCACCATTGGCTTTTCCGGCAGGATCTCCATCTGTACCGTTGTGGCAGAAGCGATGCAGAGGCAGACAGCAAGCTTCTACGAGGTGCTGCGAGTTGTGGGACTCATTACTGTTGAGTTTTGAAGGAAAAAATGGAAGACAAAATTTTCCTTTTACACACACACACACACACATATATATATATATATATATATATATATATATATATATATTTTTTTTTTTTTTTATAATTTA